GCAGGAATAAGAAAACATGGGGTTGAGCAACCCAGAAATCCAATCTACGTGATCATTCGGAAGATTGAAAATGAAGGAGTATATTAATTGTGAAACTTTGTGGTTGTGGAGAAGCAGTTGAAGGAAAAGTCAACAAAGACAACTTGGAGTTGGGGAGGTACTCTTCATTTGACCATGAGTCTATGTGTATGACACGTGAAATCAGATCAAGTTGCAAAAGGGTGGAAGAAGAACTGCATCAAGTATGGGCCGTATGGCAATGAATCAACTGTATAAATGACCAGAGGATTTGTTTGGAATTAATGGCTTAATCATTCACTGTTTGCGTGTATATACATCGCATTTATTTGATGCTAAGTTAGAAACTCAATTAAAAATACCACCTTTATAACAATCATCGTGAACCCTCAAAGTTGTAAGATCTATTATAATATATGAGATTAACTTAATATTTTTAAGTTTGATTCCTGTCCTAAAATACTTTGATCTTGATTGTATTAAAATAAAAAATAATTATATTAAATGATTGTGATAAAAAAAAAAAAATACAGTTATATTGTGAAATTCTTCTACTCAATAATGATGATAGTCTTCATAAGAAAAGTTTTAAATTAAATAATGTTTGATTAGAACATCTCTAATATATTATTGATTATTTATCCAATAATTTTAATATATCATTATACTTGTAACTCCTCGTTAAAACAAAAAAAGAAAATTTATTCTTCACTTTGGATAATTAATCTTTTGTTAGATTATGATGTTTTTGGTAAATTACTTCTTCTTAATATGTGTTTGTATAGAGTAGCATCGTAAAAGACGGTTTCAGAGTGGATCTGATTTTGGCTATGAACTTTACAGCTAATTTTGGTTTAGGGACCGTGAAACGCATTAAAGGGAGCTGTCTTCCTACTTTTTTAAAATAAATCTTTTTGTGGATTGACCAACGGAAGAGAACTGGGTGGAATATTTTATTCATGGTTTTGCCAATCATGCTTTTAAGGGCAGTGACTAATAAATTTTTAAAAACTTTTTATTAAAATATACTACTGTTATTTAATGCTATGGCTTCGTTTTGTTGTAAATTTTAACATAAAAAATTCATTTGTTATCGTGATTTTGATAATCCTAAAATTCTAAGCAACTAAAAGTGAAAAGCTTTTATTAAAAAAAAAAAGGTATTTAATATACTTTACACTTTTGTAATAAATGTTTTTAAATATGTATTTTAATATAAAGATACATTTAAAAAAAAGCCTTAATATATTGAATAAAGTATATTTCTTCTGTCTCACATTATATATGTGTTTTTATGTATTTTAATTTGCTTCGAAATATTTAATATTTAAGAAAATAATATATTTTTACCAAAAAAAATAATTTATCTCGATAACTTATATAATTAATGTCGTATTTCTTTTAAGAAAAACTCTAGAAGTCAAATAACGTGAAAAGGAAGTATTGAATTATAGTAGTCCTTAAAATTTTATAAATATTGATAAACACACGTTAGTAAATACGTAGTAGTATACAAAACAAAACCAAAAAAAAAAAAAACCCTAGCACATGATATCATATTCATACGTAAGCATTAGCCAATAAAAGCATTCGCAATAATAATGAGTTAATGTAAGAAAGCAGCCAAAGAAAATGCAGTGTTTAGATAAATAGCAGTGATTTTAATAGTGCAACTTTCTAACCCTAACTTTTTTTTTCTCTCTCTCTCTTTTTAATTTAGTATTTAATACTGTCCTAACAATTGATATTCATTGCTAGCTGGTGGCTTTTATTAAGGACGGCGTCACCCGAAACATGCAAGTTAACTTGAATTATCACTCATGTTATTATAACATGTTTTTAATTATTTAAATAAGTAAAGTATTAAACTATTTTATTGTTATTTTTAAGCAAGAACTATACTGGATTATGAAAAAAAAATGTTTAAAACTTGTCGTAAAAATTAAAATAATGCAACGTTGGACGAACGTGAGGAAAGCGTCAAAGTTTGTGCAACAAATGGAAGTGGAAAAGCTGAGTAGGTCCCTTTTTCTATTGTAAGTGTGTAACCTTGCCATGGGTGAGTTTTGGTTTTATTATAATTTAAATGTATAAATAAAGAAAGGAAATCGAATTATATTTTTTTCTTCTATATACTTGAATAAAATAAGTTCGTGCTTTTAATAATGTCTATAGGATGAAGCAAATGTATCATCTTATAGATGATGATGGGGTGTGGTTTTCTCAAAACATAACTATCATAAGTTTAAACATTTTTCTTATTAGAACCAAATTCTTTTTATATTAATTAGAATAAATAAAACAGAAAAGAAATAAAGAAAAGTGAGACAATAAGCGGTAAAAACAAACATGATGATCTAATAAATGATAAAAACAAACAATATATCATATATGATAATATAATGTATATCATATATGATAATATAATGTGAGACAAATAATGTGAAACATTGAAACTTAAATCCTAAATTGATTTAGACATTGAATTCAAACAAATGTAAAATCATTTTCCTCATAACTTTGCAAACAAGTAATAAAACACATTAAATAATTACAACAATATCTATGCATATACATGTTCCTTATAACTTTGCAAACAAGTAATAAAACGCATTAAATAATCTACAACAATATCTATGTATGTATATACATATTTTTAAATTGCATAATTTTACTAATAAACTAACGTACTCAACGTAATATGATAAATTTATCATATAATAATTTGAATCAAATTTATTTTTTAAAAAGGTTAATTAAGAGCTTTAATGGGACCTAAGGTAGTTAGTTACCTTATTGACCTTATGACTTCCAAAACTAAACGTGAAGGGTACTTGTGCTCTCAAATCCAAACAAATAAACTAATTTAAGAATGCTTTAATTATTCTGAAAATTTAAAGCTTTAATTATGATTATTATAAGACACCACTATGGCCGGGAGCCTTAGAGACTTATAACTCATTTACCTTCATATAAGAACTTGCTTATTTTTTCGGCATCCCTCGCCTACTCTTTTCAGCTTCTGTCTTATATCAAGCAAGCTTATCATAAGTCCTAACGACCGGAAATACTGGATCAAGGTTTCATAGTGTTCTGTTGTACAAGATCTTCTTAGAGAGGCGAGTACAGAGCATACTTGCTTCAAGCATAATACTGAGATCATAATACTATCATAATATCAAAGGCTTTCGAAAGAGAGAAAGAAAAGTGATTTAGAAATCCATGAATAAAGAAAAACAAGAGGTTTTATTCCGAACTCTACTTGCTTACAGACTGAGAGAGTGCCTCCTTATATAGACTCGGAGGAGCTCTCAAGCGACTGACACCTTTTACACATGGGTCAATTCTTATTGGCTGGTTAAAAGATAAGCATGGAAAAGGACCCTCGTGGGTCTGACTCATATAAATCGACAAGCTAGTCTAACTAAAATGATAAGAACGAATAAAAAGAGGGACCCACATGGGTCTGATTCATACAAAATACAAACTAAAATACACACTTATTATACAACTGATGGCAGACATAATGCAGATGGTAGACAACTCATAAAGTAGATTCCTATCATTAGTCTCCTTTAATGATGGGCTCGTAAAGAAACACATATATAATTTTATCATAAAATTATTATTAAAATAAAGTAACATACTAGACTATCATAAAATTAAACTATCACCTTTATCAATATACTATACTATCATAAAATTAAAGTTGCATTAAAGAAATAAATTGCTCTTATTTTAAAGATACAATGAGCTACATTTTTCATAATAAAACATTTAAAAATTCTTAAGCATATATACATATGTTCAAAAGTACTGTTACAGTACACATATTGTGTTTTATTTCTTTTATATATCTCGAGTGAAAATCTACTTGTTTTATAAAACTCAAACTCCAATCAGGTACGACGATTTGGTTTAGAAATAGGTTTTGGAATCTGGGATTCAAATCATATATGGTTTTGGTTTCATGGTTGGTTAGAAAGATCCTTTGGTTCGAGAGTAAATGTGTAGGGAGAATTGAATTAATGAAATAATTGATTAGGTATTGAACACTTAAAATACTTGCGACCAAATAAGCAAGAACAGAAGTGATTATTGGTTAAGTCCATTGACTTAGGCGAGTATGAGTGCTCTATTACTATAATCTAAACAAGGGGAAAACGTGAGGGTTCTGGCCAGCCATTATATGTGCAATTTTTCAAAAACCCAACAAAGTAGTTTTCTCTACGTACGACATCATTCAAACACATTTCTAAAGTCGCAATATTCATTTATTAACATCCTAGATTAAAATACATACCTTTTCTTCCATGTTCGGTACCATTATCAAACATACATCTACCATAATATTACTAATTAACTACTTATTATTATTTTCATTCTGTCGTAGCTAGTATTACTAACTTTTAATTATGTTTTTAGTCTTTTCACTTATATATTCTTTTTCTTCAAAATTTAAACATGTATTTTTAGTCTTAAAATATAAATAATTGTTATTTTAGTCTCTCAAATTTAAAGTTTATTTTTTAAATTTTTTTAAAAATATTGTTTTTGTTACTAATATCATAATTGATAATAATAAATTGAGAGAGATGGAAGTAACAATTTTTTACATTTTCAGAACAAAAATACAAATTTTAAATTTGAGACATAAAAAATATTTTTTTTAGAATTATAGAAAAAAATTTAAAATTTGAAAAATTAAATATACTAATTAGACATTTAGCTCGTGTAGTTAATTTTTGGAGGATGTGTACTGTGCATATTAAATTGAAATGATTAGGTTTCTTTATGTAAATTCATCTAAAAGTATTTTTAGGAGATAAAAAAAAAAACTTTTCTATATAAAATTAATTCATGTACAAGTTAAATTATAAAAATTATTTCATTAACTTCTTTAAAATCTTATTTCTATCTTAT